TTATATCAATAACTAGTAACAAAAATTTAACAAAAACCACAATACTTGTATCTCCGATTAGAAAAGACATAACAAAGAGCAAAAAACCATGTCTCAAACGAAAAAACACGCGCCATAACACACCATAACGCGCCATGGCGCGCCATATCACGCCTTGCCATGCGACACGCCTAACAGCAACGTTATGAGGGTTTTCGTAACGGCGGAACCACGCGTCACGCCATGGCACGCCTTTTAGAACACTGATTGTTATTGGTGGTGAATTTACGAAAATAAATTAAGTTTTTGATTATATTTGGAGTGACAAGAATATTATGAAGATGAAGAGGATGATGGGGAGTAGGAAGAATGCTATGTCCCGTGTTGGTGACGGGTATGGGCAACCCATCACCTATGATAATTGACGAAAAAGGATTTTTATTAAAAACGTTACGGAGGTTACATGTCCCTGTGGAGAGGTGATTTGTTGCACCAGAGTCCATGAACCAGCCTGAGTTTGTCGAGTCCTGAAGACTCATGGTATGAAAAGCCTCGGAAATAAAAGTCGCTTGATTAGAAGTGTTTGTGGGTGTTGTTGCGTGAAAGATAGCAGGCTGTTGGTCCTGATGTTGCTGCTGTCGTGAAGAGCCTACACCAGAAGAGGCCCAAGGTATTGAATTTATCTGATGTTGGGCCCAAGGAGCTTGTTGATTGAAGTTGAGCCAAGTAGATGAAGATTGGATCCATTGAGCCGGAGGATCCCATGGAGGTGGAACAACCCACATTTGTCATGAGGAAAAAGTCGTCATATGCGACTGATGCCTACCACCGCCTTTACCTTGACGTAGATCATCACCCCCACCATGTCGACGATCACCCTACTGTTGGCGGTCATTCTGTTGTCGTCGATCATGATTACGATGGTCACTTTGTTGCCGACAATCCTGATTCCGACGTTACCATAAGTCAGATTGAAGGGAGGACGAGAAGAGTCCCCAGAGCCGGTAAAAAGAACAGTTAGGGCTGAAGCATTGTCCCGGTGAACTGCATGTTGAGGTTGAATCCGGGAGAGACGAAGCTCTTCACGAACAAGCATCGAGTGTGCTTTCAAAAATGATGGAAGCGGGTCTTGATGGCAGATGATTCTAGCTAGTTGATCAAACTTTTCACCGAGACCATTGACCATGTAAGTAACATGAGTTTTCTTTGGAACTGGTTGATCTATATCGGCAAGGAGATCAGCAATTACCTTGATTCATTGACAGTAAGCATGGGCTGTCATGTCACCGATTGTGATGGTACGGAGTTCTTAGTCAAGTTCCAAGGCTCGAGCATCTTTGTTGTCATTGAACAGATCCTCAATGCTATTTCAGAAGTCATATGCAGTCATTCCTTTCTTGAAGACCATTTAATGTTGACAAAGGGTTGGTATTAAACCTTGTGCACCAAGGTAAAGAAAAAGAATTGAACTCTTGTTGTGAACACGTTAGAAGCACAAAAGAAATAGAACTTGCTGTGATTTTTTATTCTCAAAAACTAAACAATCTGAAACTTTAACATCTATTTATACTAAACAAAATAGAATCCTATTCCAATAGCAAAACTAGCAAAACACAAATCCTAAAAACTTTCCTATTAAACCATATTTAAACTAAACAAAAATAAACTCCTAAAATACTAAAACCGATTAACCCAACAATCACCCCCTTAATCGGATTTGTCATACGAGTCACTCGTCGTTCAAAACAACATCGGTTCCTCTTCGATTAGACCCGCTTCTTCCTTTTCCCATTTAGGACACTCGTTTTTATAGTGACCAAGTTCACCACATTTGTAACATCTAATATGACTTTTATCCCGGACACGTTCATTAACATCTTGACTTCTCTTGGACCCCCGACCTCTTCCCCGACCACGTCCAAAGTCATCCCGATTTGAACGCCCATTGCCACAATGCTTACCAACATGTGACTTTTCATCACTAGCCAACAACAACCCACCTTAATTGTCCTCCACTTTCTCAGTTCCTCTTATACGCTCCTCGTACGCCTTCAATCTACCAACCGCTTCATCGAATAACATTGAATCCAACTCGAAACATTGCTCTATTGAAGCCAAGATTTGGAGAAACGAATTAGGCATCGAATCTAGTAACCTTTTTACCAAATCACCTTCTTCAAGCTCATATCCAAGACTCCTTACTTTTGATGCTAAACCGGATAATTTCGTCACAAAATCATCAACCGTTTCATCCTCTTTCATGCGTAAACTTTCAAGCTCCCTTTTTAAGGTTGCAAGTCAAGCCGTTCTTACCCGATCCACTCCCAAATACCGTGTTTTTAGCCCATCCCACACTTGCTTTGGGTCGGTGTAACTCGCCATTTGCAACACCATGTTTTCGGGTATCGCTTGAAACAAAAAAGCACGAGCTTGTTTTGACTTCTTTTGATCTGGTGCTTTATCTAACGTCTTCGGTTCGACCGTCTCCCATATGCCATGTGCATCCATAATTGACTTGACTTTAACCACCCACACCGGATAATTCGTTGGAGTCAAAACCGGAACTTGATATGTCAACGAACCTCCTTCTTTAACCAACGCCATCCTTTTCTCCTTAACCCCGACTTCTTTAATCAAGCTTGTTCCGAGAGCACTTTTCCACCGGAAAACAAGACAAGGTCACGACCACCTTTACCGTCTTCCGTCACCCGCTAAACGAACCGAATCAAAGCCACCCGCTTTGACGTCTTCCCGTTCGTTTACTCCGCGCCTCCGGTTAGTCTCTCAGAAGCCTGATTAAAAGAAACCGGGGTTGCTTCTAATCAACCTCGAATCACACCCCCTTCAACAAAACCGCTCTGATACCAAGTGTTAACAAAAGGTTGGTATTAAACCTTGTGCACCAAGGTAAAGAAAAAGAATTGAACTCTTGTTGTGAACACGTTAGAAGCACAAAAGAAATAGAACTTGCTGTGATTTTTTATTCTCAAAAACTAAACAATCTGAAACTTTAACATCTATTTATACTAAACCAAATAAAATCCTATTCCAATAGCAAAACTAGCAAAACACAAATCCTAAAAACTTTCCTATTAAACCATATTTAAACTAAACAAAAATAAACTCCTAAAATACTAAAACCGATTAACACAACATTTAAATCAAAGATTTGTAAACAATACCATACATCCACATCTTGACAAGTGAGTCAAGTTTGGACCAGTTGGTAGATGGGTTAGCGGGTAAGGGATCGATGAGATGATGATTGACACCGAAAGTGATACAACAGGCTTCAAAAAAGATCTCGCCATGAGTCATAGTTCAAATCTTCTAGATCAAGTGTAATAGGAACATAGGATCGAATGTTGGTGTTTGCAAAGGGTTTTTTTGTTGCATCTTTGTTGGTGGTAGTGTTATTGTTTGTCATGATCACACAGGGGAAGATGCTAGGGTCAGCTTGGTTAGAATGGGAAGAAGAAGAAGGAAGGTTAGAAGATTGAGAGAGATTTGAGGAGTAATTTGAGGGAAAATATTATACCGCTCTGATACCATAAAAACGATTGTTTCCCTTGAATGATTTCATTGATATCAAACAGTATATATACAATATTGCAATAGATGTGGGCCGAGAATACAAAGGGGTCGTCGATACAAGAATAGGGCTATGCTAATACAACAGTGTAAAGAATACATGACTAATAATATCAACTATCAAGTTTCTACATTTTTTTCTATTGAATTACTTAAGAGTTTTATTAATTGATAATTATTCAATAATCGATCCTTCAATTTTTGATTTTATTTTAATGTGTAACACGTTATAGTTAAATATTACGAATATAAATTCTTATGTTACATTTAATAAATATTGGAATAGTAGCAAACTAAATGTATTTTGTTTTTTAAAAGAATACGCTTAAGCCCAAATTAGACTTATTTTTAAGAAGTAGGATCATGTCTATTGCTGGTGTAATATCGAAATCACCTTTTTTCTAATTTAAGTACGTTTATAAATATAATTTTAACATTTTGTAATATTTGACAATCCTGTTACTTAATAATCAACACCTTTGTCTTATTTTATTAGATTATATAAATAGATTGTTTATGAGAAAGCATATGCCAAATTGGGGAAGAGTAGAGTCATCAGTCATCTTCATATTTAGTGATGTCCAAGAGGCGCATACCACAACAAGATTTCTACAGAAGCATAGCACCATCAATCATCATGATGTTCGAGAAAATGTGAAATAGTCTTTAGGGATGAAGAAATAATACACAAGCCATCTACGGCAAAACAAATATCATTTAGTGACTGCTAGGTGAGAAAACTATTTTACTCTCATATGAGGGGTACATAGGTGAGAAAACAAAGATCATTTAGTGACTGCTAGAAATACGGACCATTTCCATGATGAAAACTCAGAAAAAGGTCCATTTTTGCAACTTAAAACTATTTTACTCTCGGGTTAAAGAACAACGAAAACTACATTGATCATTCTGGTAGTTTTTTCAAAAATATTCAAATCTATGAGTGAGATTTTAAGTTTCGATTTAGGCAACTCTATAATTTGGAAATATTATGATAATCTTCTACATATTAACTCGCTATAAGATCCATGTCGTGGCATCGAGAGACAACGCTTTGTAGATTGTTAACTGCATCGATAAGAAATCCACATCAATACTAAATTGCAAAAATATGAAAACAATGGGTCAAAAGTGGTAAAAACCCCAAACTAAAGGGATGCTAAAAGTATGTTACACGTGGTCAATATTTGGGGCCCACAATAACACACACGTACTCCCTGGCCTATCACAACAAAGTCAGTTCTCTTTTACTCACACAAGCCCGCATGAGTATATTTCGTTACATTCTCAATTTACCATTTCATCCCTACCATCTCTTTCCATATTCTCCCGCCTTAGAGACCCAAATTCGTCATTTTACATTTACAACCCCCCACCCACACACCCTATTCCTCCATTTTCGGTTCTTCATTTCTCTTCGTTTCTCTCCAATGGCGACGTTGGAAGCTTGCATTAAGAACAATACCAATAGAAAGAGGAAGCAACGAATCTTCGAGTTCAAGAGTTTTGGGAAATCAGTAACTGATTTTTCGGGTCCATTTCGTGATAACATTCGATCGTTTCTTGATGAATATGGTGAGCAGATTGAACAACGCCAACTAACTGGCGCCGTTTCCAACAATGTATGGTCTACTCTTCTTCTCTGCGAATCAAACGGTGCTATTTTCCCTCTTTACACTATTGAAGAACACATAAATGATCAATCTCTTCGCCCGCTTTGTTGTCACTGTAAATCAGTTGGTTAGTTCACTCTCGCTACGTGTGTTTCTCTGTATGTGTGTGTGTGTGATTTTAACTTGTAATGAATTGTGATTTTGTGAATTGGATTTGAAGGATGGGGTCATCATTTTGTTTGTAAGAGAAGATACCGGTTTATGATTCCATCGTATGGTGATAAGCAACCATTGAAAGATCATGATCAGAAGAACAGTTTGGAGCTCGATGAATCACATATCTTACACGGCTTAATTCACTGCAATGGTTTTGGTCATCTAATTTCTATCAATAAATTAGAATTAGACTCTTCAAATTCACTTACTGAAACCGATGTCATGAATCTATGGGACAGCATTTGCAATTCTCTAAAAACCAGGTATGTTTTCATCTCAATTTCATGTTCCATTGTTAAACAATCATAATTTGCACTCTACACTTGTTATTATAAACAACATTTCACTGTTTGTAATTTTTGCTTAAAATTGAACGTAATTCTCCAATTCGTATAACTGAAAAGGAATCAAATCAACTATGAAGATAAAAACGAGGTCAAAATGCATAATCTGATTCTGCATTTGGTATGAATTTGCATCATGCAGGAAAGTATCAGTAGCTGATGTTAAGTTGGAGAGATCAATGGAGTTAAGGTTAATTCATGGAGTCGCATTCAGAAGCTCATGGTTTGGGAATTGGGGATATAAATTCGGCCATGGAAGCTTTGGTGTTACAGAAGACAAATACACGGGAGCTGTAGGATTTCTAGCAGAATTACATCTCGATAACATCATCAATGACTTGAAAAACACTTACCATGGAAAGAAAACCCAACAAATTATCTCTAAATACCGGGAATTAAGTGAAACCCGATTGTTTTCATTGAGTGATCTTCTTCAATTTCTTCTTGAATTCAAGCTCTCCGGAGATACTGAAAGCCAGATTCTAGCGCCATCAAGAAAAATACCAAAACATGAACGTGCTACATTCGAAGAAGATATTCAAAACCCAAAATGTCTCGACGAATTCTTGATTTCAATTACGAATTCAGATTGCAGGTGGCCTCAAAGGAGAGTCGAATACTCCATTGACGTAATCGTAAAGTTACTAAAACAGAAGAATGTCGCAATGTCAAGACACGAATTGAGAGAGAGTGCTCGACAATTTATTGGCGACACAGGTTTGATCGATTTCGTTCTAAAATCAATCAACGTTTTATGTTACGATAATTACATTATTCGTCGTGTAGTCAATTCATTGACCAAATTAGTCGAGTTTGAAATCCATGAAATGACTGAAGATCCCAAGAACATCAAGTCTGTGTCATCTTTATGGAAATTAGAGCCAAGATGGCCTAAACAGAGACTCGAAAAAACCGCTAAAGTTATCGCAAACATTTTAAAAGAACACAAGATTACGAACACAAGAAGAAATGGAGCAATGTCACGTAAAGATTTAAGAAACATGGCGAGTAAATACGTTGGTGACACGGGTTTGATCGATTTCGTATTGAAATCGATCGATAAATTATCAATCGGGAATCAAATTATAACCCGAATGAAAAACCCATTAACCCGATTGATGGAATTCGAGATCCGAGACCAAAACAATGAGGAATTTGATGAAGAAAATGGAGATGTTTACGGAGATATCTTGTTTTTGTATAGAAACGTTCTTCTGGGTTACCCGTGGTGGAACTCAGTGAGTGAAGCGAGTCGAGTTGTATTAAACAGTAAATATTTCGTGAAGAAATGGGAATTTGAGGTTAAAAGTAATGAGTCAATGACGTTAACCTGTCGAGTTTTACCGAGTTTCGACGAGTTGGAAACCGAGTTGACTCGTCAACTGCCACCAGGGGAGGTGGTGGTGGTGTCGCCGTGGATGACAGTTGGGGAGCTCCGGGAGGTGGCGCAGTACGCGCTGAGGGATACTTACTGCGTAATGGATAAATTTGTGGTGAGTCAAATTGGAGGGTTAAAAGGGATAAAGGACGAGGTAGTGCTATCGTGCGCGGTGGAGGCGGGGGCGCAGGTTTGGGTTAGGGGGAGTGGGCTGGACTTGGGTACGACGCTGAGGTATGAGGGTTATGATGGGGATGCGGTTGAATCAAGGGTGGATTGTTTGTGTGGGGCACGTGATGATGATGGAGAAAGGATGGTTGCGTGTGATGAGTGCCACGTGTGGAGGCATACGAGATGCTGCGGAATAGAGGATGATGAAGGTGCACCTGTGGAGTTCGTGTGTGGGGATTGTGATGCGAAGAGTAAAAGTGAGCTTTTGAGCCAATAGGTTGAGGGGTGGAGGATTGTTAAGTTAATCACATTTATTTATTTATTTATTACTTTAATATAATAGAAAATATATATAGAATCTATGGAGATTATATTGTTGTGATGTCATCATATCAAATAATCTTTACCACAAACTTTAAATGATGCAAGCGAAAAAACCTAAAAACGAAGGAAAACTTGCCTCAATTCCGGGATTCCATGGATACTTCTTTCTTTGGACCCCACCAAATCCTTTTTTGCACTTTGGTCCCGCATCTTTAGGCAAATGATATAAACGATCCATTTCAAGAGCTACATAATCTTAGAAAACTCTTGAAAAACGGAAATCCAACTCTTAAATTTGATTTACTATTTACAAACAAACCTTGAATATTATTATGATTTCTTAAAATAATAATAATAATAATAAATAAGGAAAGGGGCATGGAAGAAACTATATAGAAGAGAGTGAAATATATTAGTTTTAATGAAATTATTTACGGACAAATGAGAAACGGTAAAAAAAGAGGTGAGAAGTTCATCTTAATACAAGCACATATTTATATTTGGATCTTTTATGATTTGCGCGTGTTGGATTATATGTGCAACAGTGCAAGCTGTAACATGCTTGATTTTAGGCTAGACATTTTAACATGTAAAGTGTGAAAAATGTCATCAAAAGTTAAAATGTTATTTATTAGTGTAACCCGGGTGTTAATAAAAGCTTCATTATAACTTATAAGGAAATTAAGACGTGGTAAGAATTTAAGTACGTTGTTCATTTGAGTACTTTGCATTAAATGCGTTAAAAGTGAAGAACTAGGTTAATTATGACAAATGTCATTTTTAATGAGTGGAAGAAACAAGATTAATGATATCGTATTGTTAAGACCTTGATTTTTAATAATGAGGTTTGTTTTATGGGGAATATAGCCGTTCTAGAGAATTGGTCGGTATTATAGAGTAAACAATTGTGGATAGATTATGTTTTTCAGAATGATTAATTGTATGTTCTGAGTGGGCGTAGTTAATTCCTAACTATTGTAGTCAAACAGTATATGTTGGACCGACATTCCGGAATATGTTTTAATACAGAATGCTTTCTGGACAAATGTTCCGGACACCAAAAAAAATTATCCTATACATAACATGTATAGTTGTGTTTTAAACTGCTACAAATGAGTTACACAAATAGCGATCACAAAGAATGTTTTGCTAACTTGTCTCTTTTTTGTATAACCTTAGAAGAACCGACCTCTATAGTTGCACCAACATCCTAACATATGTTGTGGATCGTTTTGAACTCTGTTTTGTCGATATTGGATGTGCGGTAAGATAATATTGTTCCAAAATATAATTGTTTAGTTAAATTTATTAAATTTTCTACAACTAATTGTTTTATTTTACCCAAAAAATGTACGTTCATACATTCACCGTGTGCACGCTCCCTGCTATCTTCTTAGACAGTTCAAAGGTGACTAACTACAACATAGGCTTTCTAACAAACACCTAAATGCTCAAACAAGCACATATAACTAAACTTCATAAATTCTCTTTCTAGGATTTCACCCACTTTCGCTCTCATACTGCATGAAGTCTCTGCCAACATCAGTAATTACCTTGTGAATGCAAGTCGTACGTAATCAAAGATCAAGTAAACAGTTGGATAAATGATTTTATCCTAAACTCACAATCAAATAAGAGACAAAAAGTAAGGCTAAATCATGCAATCGCAGGCTATGCAATCCTAGTTTTGTACAACCTAAGGCATTCACTTAGCAACAAGTTAACATTGACATGAACTTCAGATAACACGTAGCATGCAAATTCTAAGGCTACAAGGCATCATAATTAACAATCCTAACATGCAATTACGAGAGATCCTTAGCCTATATACTAGCATGCATTCCAACTGAACACATATCAACATATATAACTAGTCTGAATATTTTGGGAATCTTCGTTCTGAGCTCCGACGGACTGTACGTATCACAATATTTGTTCCTTTTTATTAATTTCTCTATCAAAAAGTTTTGTAAAAATTTTTAGATCCTAGTTTGAGTTTAGAATCACATAAATCAGGGCTCTAATACCAACTAATAACGACCAAAATTTCAGCTAAAATTTTCATTTAAAAGACATAAATAAAAACAACCATTTTCATGAAAAATGAAATATTAATAGTTTTCTAATCACAAAACCACGTCAAATCAATGTATCATAATAAACCATAAAAGCTAATATATGTAACGTCTCAAAAATAAAACCCAAAAATTTTATTTTTAAATTAATAAAACCAGTATCCCCAAAACATAATCATAAAAATTCAAATAAAACAAATGTATCAATCATCATATCACATCTGAGTAAATCAAGAAAATACGGAACGAGATAGTGTGTGCTCCGCAATCATATCGAACTCTTCAATTTGAAAACCAAAGTACCTAAAACATAAACTGAAAACACAAAGCTTAGTGAGTTTCCTAAAATATCACATATCATACATATAACGTGCTCCGCCCAAACTCATATAACGGGCCCTGCCCACTGAATATAATAGACCTCGCCCACTGAGTATAAGGGCCCCACTCACTAAACATATAAACATATAATCATATAAACATACAAACACATGCAAAAATCACAAAGATAATAGCATACCGTACAATCATCGCGCCCCACCCACTAAGTATAATGGGCCCCATCCAAACTTGCATAATAGAACCTGCCCACATACAAATCATATACGCATAACCAGATACTAGCATACAAAATAACCATCAGACCCCACCCAATAAGCATACAAGCGCATACACATGCAAGAGTTACGCGGACATCTAGCACCCTACATAACAAACTATGGGCCGCCATTGGTGCCTTCAACCCGCCAAACATAGTGAGGAAACTCATCACGTACTGTCGAATCTCAGAGAAAGAATCTCTGGTTGTTGACCTGTTAAAATCCTCGTTCTATCAATCACCAAAATAATCATCCATTAATAATCGGGTCCGACCTACACTAAGTGTCCAAACTAGGGTAAAATACATTTTTACCCTTTACCCAACTTGGCCCAAACCAACAATCAAAAGGCCCAAAGATGACCCAATTTTCCAAATTGGGCACAAATCCATTATGGGTCTTAATTCAAAGTCCAAAATATTCCTAGCCTAAAACACTTGAATTCTGATGGCCCAACAAGGCCCAAGACAACCAAAGTCTAACATAGCCCAAAACTGAGAAACCCACTACACCGAGGCCTAAATTGTTGAATAGCAGGGAGTACGCAGCTTGTACACTAAGCGTACTGGATTTAGGGCTTGTACGCGGCGTGCACAAACTTGTATGCCCAGCGCAAGCAATAATAAAATTCCCTTGACACTTCCAATGACCACACAACTCATGCAACTATTACCACCATCTTCTTGCTACCATTCCTTCCCTAGTAACGGTAGTGATTGTAACCAAAGGTTCTTCCATGGATAACTGTCGATCATACCAGAATGAATGCTAACACGAATGAACTCTGAATTTGATGAAGAACTAATCCTGTTGTCTCAACTAAATATCGTTTCATCCAAACCCCTGAACTGAAACCAACAAAGAATCGGAACAATCTCCTCAAATAACTGAATCATGTTCATCAAAATACGACCCACTAGCGACTCTTGGCATGCAAAATGGCATATAACAATTCTTAAGGATATAGCACATATAATTACAGAGAACCGAACAGGAGATAGTGCTTACCCAAACCAATAAAAATTTCCCAAGCCATATAAGTCTGATAATACTCAAGAAAAACAAAAGTTAACATACCTGCAATAGCACATGATGGAACCCTAGTCTCCCTTAACTAACACTGCAATACTCAGCTCCTCTTAGCTAGGCTCTTGCACAATCCTCACGATCATCAAAGATTCTTAAAGAAACTGGAGCAGGTGCACTCACTGCTCTACCCCTCGATATTAGACAATTGGCCTTCTTATGGCGCACTTGATTGCAACGAAAACATAACAGGCTTGCCCCTTGAGGATAATCCCGACTGAAGTGGCCAATCCTTCCACACTTGTAGCAACCCCTACTCCTAGAACAACAAACCTCATCGTTCTACTTCATGCACATGTTGTACTGACCCTAGCCTTGTTGGCCCCTCAATCGTTGATTTGAAGTCTTGGGTCTCTTTGCAGGACCGTCAAATGCTTGCACATACTCTGGCTCCCGCTTCTCCAAGTGCTCAAAATAAATATCCTACTCCTAGGTTACCCCCAAACATCCTATCATCTGTTTGAATAGCCTAGGTCTGCCCCTGAATCCGACGACCAATCTATTAATGTCACGCCCAATGATGTCGGGTGAATTCTCGCGTAAGGATTGCAAGACCTCCATGGAAATCCAATCATGGGATCGACCCTCCTAAAAACATGGTGCATAACCCAACTTTGATCCCAAATGACAAGAGCTAACAATAGGATCCTTCTTCCTAAAGGATTCCATGGATCCCTAAGCTTGTTGGGTTTTGAGTAGTATAACACTTCCTGAGTGCACATGCAACCCTAAATGCTTTGGATATATGTTTTCTCTAAATATATGTGCATTTTCTTTTTCCAAAGTATTCACCCTAGTTAGCATACAATTGAAGCTATATATAATCAAAACATAGTTAAGATGCTTACCTCTTGAGTAGGGTAGAGTTCTTGACCTTTGGAAACTTAATCACCTCAAGTGTGATGCCTATAATGGTTCACCAACACCAATATGCAAGATGAGGTTCTAAGAGAATAAGTTACTTGTCTCTTTGGTTGGTGCAACTAATTTTGGTACATGTAGGGGACTATTTATAGTTGTGGCAAGTGCTAGGGTTACATTTTGAAAACCCTAATGATCCATGACTTTCCACGTTCCTATGATCCATGGGTTCAACCTCCATGGACTATCCATGGGTTATATTATTGGTTTAGCCCACTTACATAATCATGGATCTCTTAGCCCATTCTATAAATATCATTGATTTACATAAT